GGATAGGTATCAGGACCTAGCATTCGAAATCAAGTGAATCGAAAGTGACAGTGATACCAATAGTGATTAGTGCACTTGGAACAATTTCGAAGAACGCAAAGACCTGGCTTGGGATATTAGATATACCTTACATCATTGGGAGTGCACAGATGTCGGCCATATCCTTGGAACAACATGGTACGGAAAGTGCTGTGTCTCTCAGCTGTGAGAAGTGGCTGAGGCATGACAAAAAACAGACCCAGAACATCAAGAGAATAATGATAATATTAGTAAAGCTGAAAATAATGGAAATAGTAATGAAGATAACAGCAGCAATAATAATGATAATGCTGAAAATGATGGAAATGATAATAATGATAATAATAATAATGATGGTGAAAAATTACAATGTTAATAATGATGATGATAATAGGAACTGATAGTAAAATTAACGATCATGATGAGGAGGATATTAATGATAGTAATAATAATGGCAATGACAACGATGATGGTAATGATAACGATAATAGTAATGATTTAATAAATAATTTTAGAAAATGAAATAACATCAATAATGATAATGAAAATGATAATAATAACAATAATAACAATTAGAATGGTAATAAAGATAACAATAAAAAATAATAACAATGATGATAACAATATTGATGTGGAAAGGTATGAACGAGAACGAATATCTTCACAATACAATACATCTCTTGTATTGTGAAGATATTCGTTCTCATGCATGGCTTTCCACATTTGTCAACAATATTGACGTTAATATAATAATGATGATAATGAAAATAATGATATCAAAAATGACGATAAAAATAATAATGATAATAATAATAATGATGATTATGATGAAATAATGGCACTGTTAATGATAATGATAATGATAATAATAACATTAATGATGATAATGATAATAATAATCATTATTATTATTATAATAATAGCAATAATGATAATAATAATAATGATGATAATAATAATGATAATAATAATAACCACAATAATAAGGTTAATAGTAATGAAAATACTGCTAATGATAATAATGATGATGATAAAGATAATAATGACAAAGACATTAATAATGATAACAATAACAATTATGGTAATAGCAGAAGTGATAATGGCAATAATAATAATAACACATAATGATAATATCAATAATAATGAAAACAATTATAATGATATCATCAACAGTAATGCTAATAATAAGAATGATATCACAAATAATATTAACAATAATAGTGATAATGGAAACAATAATAATGATAATGATAATAATAATAATAATAATAATAACAGTAATGATAATGATGACAATAATGATGATAATGATAATGTTAATAATGAGGGCAATAACAATAATAGTCACATCCTTATATCAACAATGATGATTTAATTAGTAATAACAATGATTATCTTTTTAATGGCAATAATTTTGATAATAATGATACAGATGATACTTTCAGTAACAACAATAATGATAATAACAATGTGATGATGATGGTAATAATCATAATCACAAAAACAACATTAATGATAACAATAATATTGATAATAATGATACTGAAAACGACAGTAATAACACTAACAATGATGATAACAATAAAAATGGTAATAACATTAGTGATGATAATCATAATGATAATAATGACAATAATGATTTTGATAATAATGACAATGTTAATGATGATAATAATGATAATAAAGATTGTAATGATAATGATAGAACTAAGGATAATATTAGTAAAAATAATGATAGTGATAATAATGATAATGATAATGATAATGGTATCAATAATGATATTGATAATAATAATAATCAATATTATAACAATAATGATAATAATGATAATAATAATAATAATAATAATAATAATAATAATAATAATAATAATAATAATAACAATGATCATAATCATAATGATAACAATAACAATAATAATGATAATGATACCAATGTTAATAAGAACGATAGTGACAATAATAACTGCAATAACGATATTAATTCTCATCATTAGTATTATTATCATTATCATCATAGTAATAATAATAAGGATAGTAATAATGATTTTAATAGTAGTAGTAGTATATTTATATTGATGATAATGATAAGGTTACTAATAGTGATGATAATGATAATAAAGGTAATAACGATAATAGTAATTATATAAAAAAGGAATGATGAAAGACGGAGATAAAAAATGCGAATACAATAAAAAGAGAGAGAAATAACATATGAGTTAAACAAGGGAGGAAACAGAAGCATGGGAAAGGAAAAGAGGAAGGAGAGGGCGAGAAGGAGAAGAGGGTAGACAGAAAGAGAGGGAGAAGATAGTATAAAGGAGAGAAGGTGGATTAGAGAAGAAAAAGAAGTAGAGATAAAGAAAGAGCGAAAGAAAAGAAATAGAGGTACAGGAAGCAAGAAACAGGGGGCTAGAGAAAAAGAAAGAGAGAAGTGGAAAAGTGAAAAATAAGAATTAAGAGGATTAGAAAGAAAAAGTAA